ACACTCGGTAAGTAATCCTACAATTTTTTGTTTATAGCGTAGTTTATACGGATTATTTCCAAAAAAAATATACGTATTTTGGAAATGTTGAGTCGGATTAGTCTAGAATTGATTAATTTTATGGAAGAAAACCTTTCAATCAGCCGTAGTCCGTAAACTTCACACGTGTCGGGCTGTGATTGGAACAACTCGTAAGAAATCGGATTCCTAAAAAATGGAACATATCTATGATCTTATAGGGGGGGTCGACTGTATATCACTCTATATAGTAAGGTAAAACTTTTAAATTGAAATTACTTTTTATTATTTTTCCCCTGGGCTGCAATTTTAATTAATTAATCATCTGTTAATTTAAAAAATCATCATAGTTAATTGGGGTCTCTGGCCCTAAGCTTTCTATATCTGGCTATATCTGGTCTCAATTTTCAACTAACTCATTCCATTCTTGAGATTAATAAAGGATGGACAGACAGTGGAAATTTATAGATCTGCAATTTGAAAATTGCAGTCCAACAAATAGCTTCATCTAAAGTAAAATGTTCTAATTTGCTTAAATTACTGCAGTTTTTTTGTATATAACAGGGGTTTCCAACATTTTTCACATATCCTCTTTTATAATTTGTATAATCTCCTTCCTTGGCACTCACCTGACTGAAATAAACTTTAGTTTGCCTATATTCATTTATCATGCCAAAAAATTTCTTTGAAATGAAATTAAAAAATAGGGAATATAAATTAAAAAACAATTTGTAACTGAATTATTATATTTAATTAAAAGTTTATTGTTAATGTGATAATTGATCCTAATTAATTGTAGCAAAATTGCAACTTATTTGAATTTTAGATTTAAAAAAATAACAACAATTAAACAATATTAAATTATTATATATGCATATGCATGTACAGTACAATATATACAATTTGCTCATTGAGCCCTTTCAAATTTTTTTTAACTGCTTAGGGATTGATGTCAATCCCATAGGAAACCCTTGGTGATTAGATCCAAATACAAGATGGAATGTTTGATCTACCTGCTCAATAGTAGAGGATATCATTTGGTAGATCAAGGATAAAAGCTATAAGAAAGCAACTAACTCTTGATGGAAAACTTCCAAAGCCAACAACACATTATCAACATAGCTGAAATATATAATAAGATAACAAACTTTAATAGGAGCAATGAAAATCGTGAATTCTGTATCCCACATGTTGAGTTCAGCTAAAACACCTCATATAGAGAGCCCAATGTTAAGGCTACAGGCTCACCATGTTTTGTTCAAATTAGAGACCTAAACATCTGGACTTCTCCTTGCAAGTGAAAGTTTAACATGTTACTTTTGCTTTCCAGACACCAAACTGATAAGGCTACCAGCACCTACATTAATTCAGAAGTATAACCAATGGCAATAAATAATTTGAAGCGGCAAAAAAATTTTAAACTTGTAAAATTGTGGTGATATTTTTAAATTTTCAAGAGCAACTCCTGATAATGATCAGTGTGTTTTTTGCATATTGACTTCAAAAAAACATTCTAGAGCATTTTTTTTTTTGGTAGATCAACTGTTTAAACTTGTGAGCACTATGTTGACTTTTCTTTAATTCTAGACTTATTACACCATCATGATGGTGTAATAAGTCTAGAATTAAAGAAAGGCCAACATATTGCTCACAAGTTTATACCAAGACTAGACAGGAAGTGTATCATACATCAACTGTTCCTGAGAGTATTGACCCCAATCCTGACTGCTTGAGTCTTCATGTCTTATTTGACAAAGTTTAAGAAGAGTTTCTGGCTAAAACTACTGTTCTAGTATGCTCTAAAAAGTGATTCACTCTTAAAAGAAAATCTGCACTCCTGCACAACACCAACTGTTTTGTCAGCTATCAGTAGTTTGAGAGCATTATCTCAAATGTATTATATAACCATCTATACAACAGAATCATATCAAAGGGGAGGCATTATCTTCCTGCACGATAATGCAACATAATGCAAGAAAAACAGTTCAGAAATTGTATGAGTTGAACATAAGGATCAACATAAGGAAAGTTTTGTCTTATCCTCTAATTGCCAGACTTTCACCCAACAGACTATCACATTTTCAACTTTCTGGATATCTTCTTAAAAAATAAGCACTTCAGACAAGATGTTAGAAATGAGTTCCATGAGTCTCAGGTTTCTAAAACACCAAATTTTTATGTATCTGGTATAAAAACACTTGTATTATTTTGGCAAAATTGTATTGAACAAAATGGTTCTCACTAAAAAAAACACTAATAAATACCTTTAAGTGAAGGCACTTGCCACTTGGATGTAATCTCATTTGGATACATAACAGGTCCATCAAACTGTTTAAGAAATTCAATATCTGGATACCATGTTTTGTGCCTAATATAAATAAACATAACTGTTAAAATAAGTATAAAATATTGATAAAATATTATTATTTAGCTATAAGATAATATCATGCCAAAAAATTTCTTTGAAATGAAATTAAAAAATAGGGAATATAAATTAAAAAACAATTTGTAACTGAATTATTATATTTAATTAAAAGTTTATTGTTAATGTGATAATTGATCCTAATTAATTGTAGCAAAATTGCAACTTATTTGAATTTTAGATTTAAAAAAATAACAACAATTAAACAATATTAAATTATTATATATGCATGTACAGTACAATATATACAATTTGCTCATTGAGCCCTTTCAAATTTTTTTTAACTGCTTAGGGATTGATGTCAATCCCATAGGAAACCCTTGGTGATTAGATCCAAATACAAGATGGAATGTTTGATCTACCTGCTCAATAGTAGAGGATATCATTTGGTAGATCAAGGATAAANTACAAATAAAAAATGATTTGATATAAATTTTAAAAAATTTATTTCATATGTAATACAAACATAAGACTAACATTAATTAATCATCAATATAAGTTTGAAAGTATAGGTTTGAAGTAACAAAATTATAGACAAACCTGTATGTTGCCATATACAATAGAAGCTAATTATTGTAATCACAAATAATGCTTTAATCAGAGTTAGCTTGTCCAAAAATCCCAAGTTAAATTATACTTTTGCAAAAAATATATATTTCTTGACAGACATACAAGATGAGTCCATATCATTTTGTCCTTTCACAAACTATTGAGGCAATAACAGTTCCATGGCGGTAGCGTCCTTTTATTGTAGGCTCATTGTGCTACCACTAGAGGAGTTTTTAATTTTTTGCATTTAGTGGCGGACGAATAGCCTACAATAAAAAATCGACTCCACCATGGAACTGTTATTGCCTGAATAGCATGTGAAAGGACCAAATGATATGGACTCATCTTGTATATATAGTCTGTCAAGAAATATATATTTTTTTGCAAATGTAAATTTGTCCTGGCAATTTTTTAAAAATAACTTATACTTATAAAATTGTGTCAAGAAAGTATTTTTGATTTTACAGTATTGGCACATTTGGCACTGGTGGTGTGTAGTATTATGCAAATTTGGTTCACTGTATTATTCACTGTTGAACTCATCCTAGGACCAGTGGTGTGCAAAAATGGATCTTACATGATAACAGAAGATGGTCATCACATGGTTTCACACTGATGAACCTCCCAAACACATGTTAAAACAGAGACTTCACCTCAAAAACCCTATGGTTACAGTTTGGTGGTAATCTGCTAGAGTACCTAGTGAAATAATCAAGCAGACTCCTACATTAATGAATGACATTGTACAAAAATCAAGTCAACTGCCAACATTGGTTAACAGAAAAGGCATCGTACTCCTGCATCATAATGCCAGACATGTCTCAAGGAGAATGATACAAAAATTACTTTCAGTTGCACATTTAAATTTTGCCTTATGTGCCATATTCAACTGACCTTTACCCAACAGACTATATTTTCTACTCTCTGACATCTGTTCAGACAACAAGTAGGTACCAAAAATGCCTTCTGTGAGTTTCTGGCTTTTAAAATACCACATTTTTATTACATATCCAATATAAAAGCACTTGTACAACATTAGCAAAATTGTGTCAAGCATAATGATTCTTATTTCATTAAACACGTTGCTTTATAGTAAATTATGCTTTACAGTTAACAATTTGACAATTAAAAACCAAAATTCTTTCTTGATTATCAAATACTTCATTTATTGATATCAAAGTTTTGATTATAGTTAACATTATCTTGAGGTAAACAAGCATTTTAAGTTACCTTATCATGCTGTCATCTTTAACATGTAGGTGATTATGCGCAATCATTATCAGTTACAGTTAGTATTAACAGCTTTGGATACTGAATACTAAAGTTTTGGTATTTAAGAGCAACAAAGGCTCACATGGCACATTTGACGTCTTATTACATTAAATACTTCAGATGCTATATGCTTACATATAATTTGAAGTTGATGTGCAATATAAGACTCTTATTGCTATTACCAAAACTTTGTTATTATTAAAAAAGTTAAAACTAAGCTTCCAGTTCTTTAAATACTAAGAGTTAATCATTATTTATTCACAATAAAGTAGTTTAAATTGTGGAATTTCCTACTTCAAGTATATGTCAAATGAAATACTAATACACAAAATACACAATAAAAAATCAGTCCTTTCAGTAACAAAATTTTAATGAAATACAAATGTTTTTGACCTACTCCTGAGGTATGCATCAGATTTAAAGATACAAGTTCTATAATGGAACATATCAAATGAAATGTCTGCAGATTTTGAATTTATATCATTAAAATTTGATCATAAAAAATTCTAAAATGATTGAACCAATCAGGAGTGCAGAAATGTGAATGGACAAGAGTAGGGTGTTCAGATCCAATCTTCAATCCTACGCCCACCCATTAACATCCTAAGTCCTTCCTGGAACATTTTACTGGAAGGATTTAGGATGTTAATGGACATTCTGAAAGATAACAGTCTTTTATGTCTGAACTAGTAGCCCGGGACGCCCCCTAGTGGGCGTTTCAGCAGCATTACAAATTCCTGAGGCATGTTTAATGCCCTTAATATATGAAAGTTGTGTGCGCTTAACGTTTAAAAGTTTGATGCAGTTAATATATATAAATGTATACAATTCTTCATCTTAGAAACTAAACTTAAAATATCAATGCACAAACAGCCAACAGTATTTGTACATAAGAAAGTGAAGCTATTCTTTACTCAAAATTGTTCAAATAAATAGAATTAATATGATTAAAAAAATCAAGTATAAATATATACAAATCTTCATGTTAAAAAGTAATGTTAACAGATCAATACACCGCAAATAGTATTTCTGTATTACAGACTGAAGATATTCTTTAGCTGTATTCTGTATTCCATCATTTATCCCATCATAAAACTTCTGTATACAAACATTTTTGGTAAAAAACAGTATTATTATTTGGAATCAATTTGCCTTGTGTCATTTTGTCTTCTGTGTCGTTTTGCTTCTGCCTGCCTGTGCAACATTGCAGATCTGAGCTCATGAGTTTCATTCTGCGAGCCTCCACGTGTTGATTGTGCTATTCTCTGTAATGTTTCCTGCGCACGTCTCTCCCTTTGTCTCGCAGCAGTGGCAGCTTTACGTTCCCCCACAGTGGCGTATTTCTTTGGTCGTGCCATGAAAGGTTTCTATTATTATATTAAAATTTTACCTTAACTATTTCAAACCTTATCGTTTTATCGTAGTGGTTCAAATCTATCTGGTTTTTCGTTATTCGCTCCCTAGTGAACATTACAGGCATTCCGTGACAATAATAAATTCCTATTACAAATATAATGAATTATTTATATTGTTATATTGACCAAATAATTTATTGGCCAAATGAATAATAATAATTCATATTGTTAATTTAAATAAGAATTAAAATTGTTAATTTAATTTGGTGTTTGAAATATGACACACGATAGGGGCGCCTCTAGTGTCAGTTATGAAACGGTTACGGGACGGACACGAAATGAATGGGTTATATATATAGATATACCTGAATACCAAATATTTAATCTAACACTATAACTATTCCTATTTTCATATATACAGTATATTTACAAAATTAAAATCTTTAAAATATTAAATTTAATAAGAAGAAATGTTTTCAGTTAACATAATTAGCTATAATCAAGTTCAATCTTGTTAAATTTAGTGCTGTTATTAAAGGTTTTAGTTTTTAATTGAACTCATCATTATATGAATTATTGCACGTATTAATTCATATAATATAATTTGCAACTTCAAAAATATTATTTATTTGAGTAATTTGCATTCATTATATAATTATCTAAATTCAATCAACTTTAAATAATCCCTTTATTTTGATTATTAGTATCAAGGGTGTGAGGTTGGAATCAGAAGCAAATTCTTTGCTAGAAAAGTTAAAACCAGAGTTGGTAAAAAAGCACTGACACTGACTCAACTCCTGGTTTTTTTACTGTATATTTTATATTAAGTTCCTAATAGGAGTGTTAACCTCCTATCTTGCATTATAGAAGCCTCTTGTAATGCAAGCTCTTATTTTATGATGATCCCCTATTTCATGATCAATCTTTTGCATATCACTGATTACTGTTGATTTTCTTTACAAAAATTTAAATTCAAATACAGTCTATGTCTATGTCAGCTAATTCTAAATTTTTATTGTCAACATACCCATACAAAATGACTAAGAGGTAAATCTAGTGTTTTTGAATACTTTACTATAACCTCAAATTAGAAAACATGTTGTATTTCAATTTTTGGTTGAAGATGACAATGGTGATAATGTAAAGCTATGTGAAGAAATGATAAGTACTTCTAATTTTGACAGGACTACTTGATGAGTTACTTTAAAAAATGCTTAAAAAGTAGCCTGACAATTAATATATTGTCCAATAAGACATTGGATATAATACAAATCAACAAATTTTAAAATATGATTATTAAAAAAGACAGAAAATCAAACTGGAAACCAGTTATTGGATAATCAAATCTTTACGATTTGATTATCCAATAACCATCCTAAAGTTCATTGCTAGCTTTACTACTTTAAATTGCTTTTGTATGGTTAATGTGTAAAGACACATGGTGGATATTTTACATCCAAAATTATTTCAACATAGAATGTCTCAATACATGGACCGAAATGAAAGAAAACATACAGCCTCTGCACAGAGCAATTTCAGCACTGAGAAATGAAAACTGTCATCTGCACCATCATAATTTGTGTTGAAATAGCTTGGTGCAAATCTTGAAACACATAGAAATGAATGAAAGCAAACAAGAGCCATAAAATAGCATAGAATCTGACTTACTGATTATCTCCATCTCCAAATGAAAGACACAAACTGGCCCAGTCCTATGACTTTCATGCACAAGCAGAAGTCATAGTCCTGTCCGTACTAGTGCAAAATTGTGCCTAAATTTTCTATGTGAAAATATCCACCCATATGTTACAACCCTAAGAACCTTACCAGTACAAAAAAAAAAGTTTGTATCATTGATAAAAGTTTAATTATATAAAATACAGAAATTTTTAAAATAATAATTACAGAAGAATTAAATGAGTAACTAAGTGGTTTCAATACAGCTGGATAAACAAACCAATGGCAGCCTGTTTCCTTATTCAGCTGTATTAAAGCTGCATTATCAGAGTTATGTCAAACAACCTATCCAACTGTGCATCAGAATGACATCAAGAGTAGGAGTAACTTGCAGAGTTAAACAGGTTAGAAGAGACTTGCAGTTGGATTAAAAAATAAAATAAAAGGAGTGAAGTTAGCCTAGTGCTGAAGATCCCAATGATGTCATTTCTAATAGATTCTGCAAGAAACTTGCAGTCAATTAGGTTGGTGGACATGATGGCTCAGGCAATATGCCATAACTTTAGTGAATATTCAATGTTATGCATAACAATAACAATAAAATGTGTTTATTAATTTATTCAAATATTCAGATTATTCATAGTTTACGATATAAAACTATGGATTTTGATATAACAAAGAAGCAAAATGTACCTGACAGATAACAAACCACCATATTTTAGTGGTGAATATCCCAATTTTAGTGCAGGGCTAACCTTCAACACCGAAAACACTAAGGAAGCCATTTTTAAATAAATAAACTACAGATGGCGGTACGATACTTTATAAATAAATATGTTAAATATATTAAAATGATCAAAAATCGTTACCAAAATACAATATAATTTTATCGACGTTAATAAAAATTATAAATATTTAACAATAACAATGATATTTAAAGAGTGAGCTTATGTAGATACCCGAAATAAACTACCAGAGTCGTTGAGAGGGGGAGCTGGGAATTTTACTAAAGTACTAGATCCGTAGTGGTTCCTACTGTCGGTAATATTTCAGAAATACCTGTAATAAAATTTTGATTTATTTTTTCTGAGATATTACTCATTCTTACCGAGAAAGTTACGCAACTGGTTGCTGGATTTCTTTCTGTCTTTGGCAAACAACGTTACAGTTTATGTCCTCAATGTGTGCTGTATTGTACTGTACAGTACATTAACACTTACAGATATATAGTGTCCTAACATAAAGTATTACTGAAATCATCTATAAAACCTTAATAAACCCATTAACATACCTTGTATACAGGACGTCCGAAAACTTATTAGCGAGATTGCGGCCGAAGTTTTCATCTGTAAAACGCGAACGTCGAATGTCGAGCGCCGCTATCTTACGTTCGACGTTCATGTTTTAGAGATGAAAACTTCGGCCGCAACCTCGCTATTGTGCAGTGAGAAATTCGGAATGATATTAAAGTTATACTTACGGTATTGCATACGAGACTTGTAAGTTGTCCATTTGGGACCAGTTGACCATTAATTTGTTAAATATGAGCACCATTTATTTGAAAACTTTCTTCCTACTCAGAGAGAACTCATGTCTAATATTGGCACACACGATACTTTATAAATAAATACACATGTACGAGTAGTTTGTCTTTTGTATAGAGCAAGAGTGTCCAATCTTTTTGTTTCTCTGAACCATATTGGAAGAAGTATTCAAGTTTTGGGCCACAAGTATTAAAATATTATATATACTTCTGTTCTATGTGTAGCGTCTTTGTAATCCAAACAATAATTTTGGTAGACGGGGACGTTCCCATAGTTTGTAAACTGTGGGAACTGTTTACAAACTTGAATGCAACTGTCAAAATCCGAAAACTTACATCGGCGAAACAGGCCGATCACTAGAAACAAGAATCAAAGAACATGATGCTGCCATCCGCCTAAAACATAACACTTCCCCCTGGTATTACCACACAATAGACCATAATTGCCAAATTAATAAAAACAAAAGTGTTACATTTAAAAAAAGACCCATATAAAAGAAAATTTAAAGAACACATAGAAATTAAAAAACACCCTAAAGATAACCTAATTAATATTTCAGAAGGCATGTCAATAGACCCCCAATGGTATAAACTAATAGAGAGCGTCTCCATGCGTTAATTAAAGATTGTTTAAACACATCCCCATGTACGGAATGTGAGGAATGGTTCAAATAACATTACTTGTCGGTATTCTGTTACTCGGTGAACACCGGATAACACCAGTTGTCAATTTGTACTCTGTTCCAATTCGTATCGAAAATAATACATTTTAACTAAAAATGTAAGTGTTTATAGATATTTTGAAATTAATCATCTATGTTATACGTTTTTTGCATATAAATGATGTGTTAAACAGCCTCCACCCTTTTACCATTTTTTTCATATCATAGGAAATAATCATACTACCATGTAATAAAAATATTGTCAGATAAGTCTATGATGTACCATTATATAACATGTAAGCATTTTATGTTATCATCACCTCGCGTTTTTGTTATGTCCTACTCACCAATGTCGTGAAACTCACCTTATTATTTTTTTGTAATTTTAACAGCACTGAAGAGGGGTTGGGAATACAAGCCAACCCGAAATGCATCTGAATTAGAAATATTTTAAATAAAACGTAACGTTTTCTAACCAATTGCTGTTCGTTCGTCTACCAAAATTATTGTTTGGATTACAAAGACGCTACACACAGAATTTGAAGATACAGCAACCACGTCTTCTACATTAAGTTATATATACTTGTCACAACTTAAATAAAGATAGAGTCACAACTCTAGCTTTATTTAGTATTCCTTCCTCATTCCAAGTATTTGAAATATTTCCTTTCCACTCAAAAATAAAATATGTATAAACTTTGTGAAACTTCTTTTTTGACTTTATATGCTGTTGAAATTAATTAATTAATAAATAAACTTTGTCGGTTTTGTTTACACGTTTATTAGGCTGCATTGGAACTTGCCTTGGGCCGCGGGTTAGACACCCCTAGTATAGAGAGACTTTTGAACCGCCTTGCATTTAAAACATAAGAAAACAGTATATTTTCTATTCTGTATATTTAAATATTCTTATATTTAACAGAAGAAAAAGTGATGTATAAACAAATTTCAAGTGATAATAAAATTAATTTATAACAGTGCTATTGAATATCACTCCCCCTCTTAAAATTACACCTACTGTAAGATCTAACCTTTAGGAATAAATAGAATTTCATTCATAAAATAATGAATATTAAATCATTTAATAACTTAGCAGACCCCGCCACGCGTTGTTGTGGCTCAAAATGTATCTATTATAAATGTATAACACTTCCCCCGTGTGGGGGGAATTTTTCGAAAAATTTCTTCTTAGTGTACATTCTCTTGGCGTACCCTATTAAAACGCAATCAAAAACGCAAAAAACCGCATCTAAAATAGTATAAATAGAAGCAGAGTTCTTTACGGTAAGCCTTAATCTTGTTCATCTCCCCCCCAGTGGGGGAATTTCTACACGTATATTATATAAAAACACGTGCGTATTCGAATTGTGTGAAAATTTCAAAGGAATTGGTAGGAACAAACGAACATTACATTTTTATTTACATAGATAGAAAATCTGCTTTAGTTCATCCTCACAGAAAAACAAACTTAGGGCGTCATACTCGTAGCGCCATCTGTTGGACATAAAAGCCTTAACCCTAGATGATATCTTTTAATTTATATGAATATTTAATAAAAAATCTGCAGGTTTGATTAGTGGTAAACATTCCGGGGATCGTAAAGATGCTACAGTTAAAATTTGGTAACGATTGGTTCAGTAGTTTTCAAGGTTAATGGTCACAAACGAAAAATACGTTGTCTATATAGTAGTATAGATCAAGGGTGGGCAACCTTTTTTATAACATGGGCCAGAATAAATTTTACGTTTTTTCCGCGGGCCATAGTAGTTAATTGACACCTTGTGACCTGTAAATTTTTAGTCTGAAAATATGAAATAAATAAATAAAAAGAAATTAATTACTACAGTCGACCCCCCTATAACACTGTTGATTATTCCGTTTTATATGAATTCCATGTTGTATGAGTCACTTAGATTTTACAAATGCGTGTGCCGGGCTGTGAACGGCTCACCTATTTGTAAAATCTAGATGACTTTAAACACAATAAAAACAGCACTATGTAGTTGGATACGACAAACATTATATTTTCTAATTGCATAGCTTTTGCATATAGATTTTCTTGATGGATGACGCGATGAGATATAAATAATTTAGAAAAATTCTGTTTTCCCATTTTTTGTTTGAATAAGGAAATGACTCCCTTATTTTTTCCTGTCATTGCTGTTACAACACTTCAGAAAATAATATTCAATTTAAACTAGACGAATTACATCGAAAATATTTATTTATAATTTCTTCTAAACATCTCGCGGGCCGGATAGAAACTTTTCGCGGGCCGTAGCTGACCCGCGGGCCGGGGGTTGCCCACCGTTGGTATAGATATAGATACAGTCGTACCTCCAATAATATGGTGGCCAATTTTTCAAATGCATACAAATAACTTTTAAACAATGATAACCTCAAACAACGGCCATATTCTTGTTTTCGTCAGAGGTTTAAATTTTACTTAAGTACATTTTTAACTTATTTTACATTCATATCTGATAACCTCATTTCTAAGTATGTGATTTGTATCGATGATGGTGTATAAAAATAAATTAATATTCTTATGTTTATGCTCCATTATTTCTGGTTTTATTACTTAAGGAAAACTATGAACATTGCACTATACAGTACATATTTTCTGAAACTGAGATATTAGAAGAAACAGAATAATGAATGCTTATGCTGTTCTTATATTTTATATAATTAATTACTATAATATTTTTGTTTCGAGTGAACTAACTTATAAAAAACGTTATGATTATATAATAGGTAAGATAATTATAATTATAATTATAATTATAAATTGAAGAATTAAATTAGTTTTAATAAATTTCATTTTTGTTTTATTAAAATTAATTTTAATTTTACAGTTGGATCTGGTTCAGCTGGATCAGTTTTAACTAATAGATTATCTCATTATCCATCAATTAATGTTCTTTTATTGGAAGCCGGTGAAAGACCTCCATTAATTCCTGATATAAATCTACTTCATTTAGATTTGATTTTTACGAAACATAATTGGCATTTTTCAACTGTACCAAGTTCAACAATCGCTCATGCCAGGAAAAGAAGGGTACTGTACAATCTTTCTAATTTTTGTTTTATTTTCTTAAAATAAAATATTAGTTTTCAATACAGTATTTTAATATGACATGATTTTGGTTTAGTCTTTTAATATAGCAGCAAGCAAAATATTAGGCGGATCGCCTATGCATATTCATAACGTTTATGTGAGAGGAAATAGAAAAGATTATGATAATTGGGCTAAGAATGGTTCAATTGGATGGGATTGGCAAAACGTCTTTCCTTATTTTCTTAGAAATGAAAATAATAGAGATCCAGTAATACTCTATAATGGTAAATATCCTATATTTGTAAGCTTATAACTTTATTTTTTTTTACCTAATGGCCGAGGTAATTAAAGTTAACTGTCACCTCCTTCATTATGTGCGGGATCTCCAGTTAAAATACCGTTAAAAATTTGATGCTCTTTTATTGGAAGATTTTTTTCCCATAGAAATAGCATATGAATATATAAAATTCTGATTTATATAAAACGAATTGGATTTCAATATTTTCCTATTTCTTAATCACGTTAAATAAAGTCTAACAATTTCGTGTAATTAGAACAAGTAAAGGAATTTTTAAATAATTTTATATTATTTTTTTTTTACATTAATTGAGTGTGAATCTTTATAAAAATGTTCTACTTCACATATATATATGATACCACAGCACTGAAGGAGAATTGGTTGTTCAGTATCCTCCATTTTTTACATCATTAGTAAAAGGATATTTAGAAGCCGCGGAGGAACTTGGATACCATATGGGAGATGTCAACGGAATGAATCAATCTGGTAACATTCTATTCATATATAATATAATTACGATGAATTTTAAAAATAGAAAGACATTTAATATTTATGGATGTATAAGCAAATGGGTGAATTGCAGTATTTAAACTATGACTATTAACTGAACTATTTGAATGTTATTTAGTGCTTGCTTGAAACGCTGATAATAAATTTTTTGATAGATTTAACCTTAGATTTTTTTTTTATTAAGAAGGTAAAAATAATTCATTGTTATGTTTGAAAGCAAAACGGTTTCCTATTATGAACCAGTTTCGATTTTACATTTATAACGTTAGACTTTATTATTTAATTAATCAATATTGAAAATTTTAAACTAAGTACAATTCTACTTATACAGTACTATCTTTATCTATCTTCTAAGAATGAATGGCAAAATTTTAATAAAATTTCAACTATCCTAAAAAACGTGGTCTTTCGAATAGTATGGCTCCTATGAGAGACTTTAAAAAGAACCCTAGAGCCAAGCGAGGTGCAAGGGGGTTAATTAGCACCGGTTATATTAAACTAAAACAAAAAATGACCTCCGAGATTTTTACATTTTTGTATATAGGATACGTTGAAACGTCGAGAAATGGAAAAAAAAATCGGAGTGATTTCTGTATGTATGGATGTTAGTGTGTGTATGGAGAACGATTTTGTTTGGAGTAAATCAATAATTAAAGGTTCTACAGTAAAAACAATAAATTTGAAAATGAGCTTGAAAACAGGGTGACAGAGCTTGAAAACAAACAATTACAGCAATAGATTTTGATTTATCTAACTTTTTAAATTTTTCACAAGTAAATTATAGAGTACACTATTGCATCGATATACGATAAAAAGACAGATAAAAAGCATCTCATTGTCGATGGTATGAGGTTACATATCTCAATTGCTTTTACAATTATAATTTGTGGAATTTTTTATTCGATTCAAGGGAAGGACAAGTGCCCCGTTTTTCCCCTTCTACAGAAGTCCATGCTTATAAGAACATCTATCTATATATATAACCCATTCAAAGTGTCCGTCTGTCCCGTAACCGTTTGATAACGGACACTAGAGGCGCCCCTATCGTGTGTCATATTTCAAACATTCAAATTAACAATTTTAATTCTTATTTAAATTAACAATATAAATTATTATTATTCATTTGGCCCATAAATTATTATTTGGTCAATATAACAATATAAATAATTCAGTATATTTGTAATAGGAATTTATTATTTCAGGGGCTTATATCTCGCGAAGGGTCGCGAGTAGGGGTATGGTTCCTTTGACTTTATTGTTCGCACAGGGGCTACAGTTTGGGGGGGTCGCCACCTCTTCATTCGGAGGGTAAATCTTACCATTGGGACTTTAACAGAGCTGTACAGCATATTGATAGGAACAAAAAAGTCAAAGGAACCGTGCTTCATGGAAATTTGTAAAGAACGCCCACTAGGGGGCGTCCCGGGCTACTAGTTATAGTATAAGTTATAGTATTCGGTTTGGTTTGAAAGGATAAGGCAACGCGACATGTGGGCGATCTGTGAGGTCCCTCTCACAAGGATTTTTTTATGGAAAGCTGGTCCCCATTTCGGAGTTATATACGTGAGATAACCTGAAAAATTGCACGAGCCAGCTCTATGATAAGGTACGAACCTGCGACCAATTACCAGTGTTCACTGGTTATAGCCAATCGGCTATTACTGAGCCAGTATAATCTCGATCGGATTACAGAGGCGGCCTAATCGCACTGAAGATTCAAGATAGAATCCAGGCGAGTAACTCCAGGAATTTTTCATGGGTGGTCTGTCCCGGAACTGTCGGGCTCGTCTCTCACCCCCCCAAAACGTCCCCATTATGGGTCTGTTTAACCCACGATGGATAGTGATTAAAAAAATCCTCATAATTCTTACAGAGTGAAAGAGACAAAAATTAAGAAAACATATACTCTATAAACAATACAGGAGATATGTGTAGTGTCTCTGGACTTCATTAAGTCCGACCCCTCTCGACCTCATTATTAGCATTTACATTTTTTTTTTTTTTTATTAAAGTCATCTCTACCCTCAAAATTAAGCTCTTTGCCATTTTATAATTAATAATATAAAAAGAGCTTTATAGCAAAATCTCATAACAGATAGTGTGACACAAATTTTATTTTGATAATTAATAATAATATAAAAGTTATTTTTTAAATAAGATCTCATAACAACCAGAAAGTTACACAACTCATTACTGGATTTTTAAATTATTTTAAATTGCTGTTATTTTAAATTAATTAATATTAGTTAATTATACACTTTTTGAATCCTGTATATGATGATTCATGACATGAAAGTGATTGAAGACAATTTGTGAGTGGCTCAGGCCATATCTGTGATGACCCTAATTACTAATTATAATCATATTTATATTATACTTTTATTTTTCGTACACATATTCAATTATTGAATGTGACACGATATGTAATTTCAGTTTTTATGCCTAGTCAAGGTACAATCGTAGACGGAAGAAAATGGACGACATATCAAGCATTTATTAAACCTATAGAAGGAAGAAGAAATTTACGCATTATAACTTCGGCTTTTGTTACTAAAGTAGGTATATAAAGATTAAGTTGTTACTAATGATATATTAATAAAAATGTTTTCTTTTCAGATATTAATAGATGACCATAATCGTGCATATGGAGTATTATTCGATTATTGTAATCAAACGTATAAAGTATTGGCTAGGCAAGAAGTGATTATATCAGCAGGAACATTCAATTCTCCCAAACTTTTAATGTTATCAGGAATTGGACGAAAGGAAATTTTGAAGAAATTTCACGTTAGTATATTTATCGTATTTAATATAATAAATTTATTTATCTGTATCATGAGACTCTATCTATAGTTTTATCTATTCGATCGATCACTATAAGAACCAGATTGGTTCTTATAGTGATCGATCGAATGGATAAAACTACAGATAAATGGTAGTTAGTTGATCACTGGTTCACGAACTTACCAACGAACTCGCTACGAGAAGTTTTCTGGGTTTCTTTACGTGTCTAACACCTAAATAGAGACCAATTTCCCATAAAAAGTCTTCCCAGTAGGCGTGTCTCATTGTATTGCACCCATTAAATCAAACCAAAATTTATTCGATATTTACATAATTTTTTAATTTATATACTATAAACTAAAGGCTCTTGCTCTTAATGTTTGTTTATAGAATATTTCAGAACAATACATTGTACAGTACATAATCTTCGATAATTATAGACTTTAAAGGCAATTTATTACCGCGTTTGTTTTAATATTATTTTCCTGACATCTTGTAAGATTAAATTAATTATCGAAATCTTTTTGGCGGAGAGAGACAAAGGAACAACCTGCAACTCTGTGGGTATAGAATTGAACTAGAATTACCGATTTATGTTGTCGATCGAACCGGATCCTCAGAAAAATTTTTCCTATATCTGCATCAAAATCTATCTCTCATCATCCGAATGTCCCAATACGGATGGGTCGAAAAACCCCAGGAATTTTTCAGAATTATTCTATTTCGGAAATAACGGGCTATGTCCCTCACCACTCGGCTGCTCCATCGTGGACTTCACCGAACCCGCAGTGGGATTAATTGAACATGCCCTCTTAGTGCCTCCAGAGTTTGCCTGAGAGTTAAAAGCAATATCCCATTACCAGTTTGGACAAACTCGTAATGACATCTTGACTACCACCCGAAAAAATTTTGGGATTTTTCGAACCCGCTCGGCTTTTATCACGGGCCTTCCTTAGCAGTAGCTAATGGCCAAGAAGGTTAAGACTGATGCCTTAACTTTTTCGACATTCTGCCGGCATTAAAATACATTTTTCCTATTAATCTTGGATTACTTTCGATTAAACTCACAATTCTATCTTTTTCAGAAAGAGGTATACATTTCTCTGAATGTATATCTTTAGAATACATTCAGAGAAATTTACGAAAGAATTGGATTGGATTGATTTATAGAATAAAAATATTTAAAATGTTTAAATATTTGTATATTTTAGATACCAGTACGAACAGATTTACCTGTAGGAGAAAATTTACACGATCACGTATCAACACTCGGGCTTCAATTCGTGACTAATTCCTCTACTTTCAGAGAAACAATAATTACTAAAAGAGATTATGAAGAGATGTTAATTAATGGCGCAGGTAATAACTTTGATGTATTCATTACATTCATTTAATTTTAAAGAGTAAATAACAATTAAAAATTTCATTAGGGCTACTAACATCACTGGGAATTGAAGTTATTGGATTTATGAATTCTAAATATAATGAAGATCCAGAATGGCCTGATATAGAAATCGTTTGGGCAAGTCGAACAGCTTCATCAGATACATCGTTGAGAAAAATTGCAGGTGCTGTTGAAGAAGTAAGAAACTTATTAGAAAGATTCTAAAATGGCAAAAATGAAGAACAAACTTTAAAATAATCTACTTAAAAACTTAAATTTCTGAGTTTTATAACAATTTAAAAAAACTTTTTTGTATATTGTAGCTTGAAAAGATCTTCGAAGAATATTCATTATTAGACACCATTACTTGTAGTTCACGTGTAACTCGCCCAAAGAGTCGAGGACTGCTAACCTTAAAATCTAATGATCCATATGATAATCCCGTAATTGATTTAAATCTCTTGTCAAATTATTATGATGTAAAGATTTCAGTTGAAGGTAAGTACTAGATTTTTTTAAAATTTAATTATTTTCTTTAATTATTTCTGATCAGCAGTATATGGCTCCTATCGTGACAAGGTTTGGCCACCTTTGAGGATCTGCCAAGTGGAATGTGTCTTTCGGGATGATTTTTAAGGGAAACTGACTTATATTTAAATATTAGATACGTGACGAAAACCCGAAAAGTCTACGTTCTTAGCCCGTTAAATCCTATAAACGGATCAAATAATTTTTTAAAAAAATGCAAAGAAAACAATGAAAACAAAACTACTGTACTTCATGTATTGTTGCTTAGAATTTACTGGGCACTTCAATAAAGTATGTCATTTCCCTTCACTTTTTCATCCATCAGTGACCGAGTGGATAAAATCACTAAGCGCAGGTAGTAGTTGGTCGTGGGTTTGCGCCTCACCAACAGAATTTTCTGACTTTTCCTCACGTGTTTAATGTAAATTTATTAAAGTTTAAAATAGTACTATTTCGAATGACTTAAAATATACTAAATAAATCTTATAGGTATGAAATTCTGCTTACAACTGGCATCGACAAAAGCCATGAAAAGATATTCAGTTCGTCCTCTATCCTATATCATTCCTGGATGCGAAAAATATAAATTATATAGTGACAAATATCTGGAATGTATGCTTATAGCATTTCCCCTATCAGCTCATCATTTTGTAGGAACTTGCAAAATGGGTCATCCTAATGATCCTTCTATAGTTGTGGATAATACCCTCAAGTAAGTATTTAAATACGATTATTATTAGAACGATAAATATAATAAAATTATCATAATTTTTCTTATAATAGGGTCAAAGGAATATATAACTTAAGAGTAATTGTGTAAGAGTAAACTTAAGAGTATTCTGTTATTCCGACACTGATAGGAGGTCATACCAATATTCCTGTAATGATGATTGCAGAGAAAGCAGCAGATATGGTTTTACAAGATTATTTTAAAAAGATGAAATAAAATAATTTTTTTTATAATATTTTATATGATATTTGTATTTTGGTAGTGAATTATTTAAAATGAAAATTTTTTTGTAAAACTGAATAATCATTATATAACTGTACTGTACTTATAATTTAAAAGAACTACCAGGGGCTTAGTGGATAAAGCGCATTTGATTCTGTTTAAATATTTTAAATATTCAATTACTGAATATTTTAAATAAAAGAAATTTTTATAGTTTTATTTATTTAACAATTATTTATTGTTTAGCTATTGTTTACAATAATATACTTAACTCGTGTATCTTGAGCATTATATTGTTTAAAATGAAACCCCTTTGTGAGTAAATTTCAATAAAAAAAAGCCATTAAATGATTTATTTTACATAGGAAACTAATGATTTTATTTTATAGATGTTACTATATTCATAATATATACCTGGATTATTTGGAAATTTGGAGCTAAACCTATTCACGGTAATTTTTTTTTCTAGAATTACTTTGTCATATACTTATATACAATAATATTTAAGTGTCTTACGCATATATTTTAGTAAGAAATTTAAGAATTCTTTATCGGAACATCAGTTTAGAAAATTTCACTTCTACGTTCTTCCCGAATACTTTAAATAGTTTCTTTAAAATTTGGAAGATCTCAAAAGTGGATCAGTTTTATCCTTTTTTGAAATTTCTTCTTAATAAAACTACGATCGGTGTCGATTCTTCCATACATCATTTCCATAGAATGATACTTAGAGGTAAAGAAAAAGAGAAAATAAGCCTCACTCGACATTACTTAAATCAGATTCGAAACATACCGAAGAGGATTCAAAACTTCAAAATCAATTGGAACCAAACATTTAATAATGGAATATCAGAAATTAAAAGTACCTTAATTACTCGAAGAAATTTCATATTAAAAATGCATAGGAAATTTATAATTTGGTTAAAAAATCCACGAATTCCACGATGTAAATGCAAAGACGTTCAGAAAATTGCTTGTTGGCCTGCGATTTTCTTCGCTACTTGTGACCTAACCAATGACGAAATTAAGAGAAATGGTCCAAGAGTTTTTATTTCTTGTTTATTCACAAATTTATTGATTTATATCTTACTTAGACATTTTCGAAATTAAAAAAAAAATAAAAATAAAAATAACATTATTATTTCTTTAATTCTATGAAGAGTAAGATGAATGTTAGAAATGATTCCATTATGTGATCCAAATTTACAAAATTTGGATTACATAAGGAAACTCAACACGTGGGATATCTGCTAAAGGGGTACCCTGGAAGGAACTGTCCTGGAGAAACTGTCCCTTATTTAGGTTTTAGACACTTAACACCACATGAAGAAAACCTGGAAAACTCAAAGTTTCTAGCCCATTGATGAGGAGCGAATCCATGACCAATGTTCAGTAGTTTTATCTGTTGATAACTGATGCGGCAAGTCCATTTATTAAAGAAACGGTGCTCAACTACTAAGATCTACGGATTTTCTCAAAAATTGTTTGCGTGCCCTACATATATATAGGTTGTAGACTGCAGCAAACACAAGTATACTAGATATTGCAGTGTTATGATATTCCGCTGATAATTTCAATCGGCACAACATGCAGATGATATCGTATAGCAATTTTCATGGTACAACATAATGTTATATTTACAGCACATTTTACAATTTTTCTTAATTCCGTATTTATTGAGAGAACTCTGACTACTAACCGATATTTGAACATTCTAAACACGACGATGGACGAATGGCTTTGATGACTTTCTATTGGAACTACTACAAATATTTTGTTTTAAAGTACTTTCATTTAGCATTATATAATTATTTTGTTTTTATTTTTGTTGGTGATATCTTAAAAAATTATTTTTATGTAATTATCTGTTTACATACTAGATGGCGCTACTATATAACTATTGTTATGGTACAGTACTTAACAATTAAGCCGTATATTCGCCATATTTAGTCCAGCTATATTAGCTTTATTTTTACTTTTCTAATTGTTTTTTTTTATATTTTTTTATTTTTAGTTTTGAAATATTTTTGTTTAGTTAAACTTAATTCTTTACACTTGTACCAAAAGAAATTTTTAAAAAATCTTTTCATCACAAAATAAATAAATACTGTACTATTTGAGTCAGGACAAAAAGGGAAATAAAAGTATTGTGACACCACTCTCGATACATAGATGAACAAGAGTATTGTTAAGACAAGGTAAAGTTTTATAAGTTTTTTTTTATCGTAACTTTTTATCAAATCTGTATTCTTGCACATTGAATGGCTCTCTCTGTTGCCTTAGCTAGGCCAGATTTAGGACACTTAAAACAGCGATTACGACATAAATTTAGATACTATAGTTTTATTTTTTAATGTCTTCAACATTCACAAACATCACATTCTTCTATATAACCATATTTCTTTAGAGTGGTCTTAGATTTACCAAATCTACTATGAAGTCGGTTTATGGTCTCCAAGTGAGCCAATATTCATGTTGCTCTTTGTTAGCCTTTATCCTTTCATGCCAATGTTTCAGTCTAGTAATTTCGAGGGTTCTGACTAATAATAGATTTGTAGTTGTGCTTCTGATGATGTAGGAATGGGGGGGGGAGAAAAGCGAGTTCTTGTCAGCTGGAAGTTTCGTGTACGTAAGACCGCACAATAAGATTTTCTTTTGCAGAGATGAATTCAGGTAGTTTCTCAACTTTATTAGATTCAACAAACTGCTGCAATGGGGAAGCAGTTTTTGCCATTTCATAGTAGTAAACTTTTCTGAAGGCTGAAAACTTCTCTGCTAGTTTCAGAATGTGCATTTTGCATTTCTACAAAGAGAGATACAATGCATTCTATATTTTGAAGATATCGTAGTGGTGTCACATTATGTAATCTGGAAATCTGTATTTTTATCGTAGATTTAATTTAAAATATATACTCTCCACTCGAAATTAGTAGTGATTTTGCCCCTGTGCATCATATTTTTCCTTTAACAATAGAGTCGTGCATGACATTTATCTAAGACCTTTTAGAAGGAAATTTTTGAATTGAAATAATGCGACTTCCACTTTGCATTAGAAGTTCTTATATAGTTAATCGGGTCCTTCCTGTCACTAAGATTTATATTTCTGGTCTCGTCTTTCATTTATCTGACTCCTTTCTTGAAATTAAGGAATGACAGACGGACAGGAATTTATGGGTCTACAATTTTTTTCAACAATTAGAACAAAAAGTGAAGCAAAAGAGAATCTTAGCACAATATACTTAATAAAAAAAATACCGAAAATCTCTAATTTAGAGCTAGAAAAATTTATTCAATGAAAATGCATTAATAGAGTTTTAATTTAGCAATTAGAGAACCATTGAGTGACTGATGTTAAAAAGGCAAAAGATAGATTCTGAAATTACAGATTATGTGCAAAGGAATTTATTAAAATTATGGCATAAACATTCGGGTTATATAAATTTCAACGCAATAAAACAGGCTGAAGCCATGTCACGCCGGTTCAGAACCATTTCATTAACAAGTAGCTAAAATTTCAGATAAATTTATCGTTGTAATTAAGTTTACTTAAGAAAGATTACAATTAAAGAATGTTCTTTGAAAATGGAAGCAGAAATACTTTTGCATTTTCGAAAGTGTTAACGAAGGAGTTCAAACAACTAGAGCGAGAGTAGAAAAATATTCTTCTTCGTCTCAACTTTTGAAAATAATTTTCATTCAAATAGTTTGTACTGTAATCGAGGTTAACAATTATATCCGTGAAACGCTGGTAAATAACAGGAATGCCGAAAATACCGAAAGAAATTTTCTTAATAGTGATGACGATGATAATACTTGTGCAAAATCTAAAGAGGAAAATCAAAATATTGGACAAGAAAATAGATTCTTGTTTGAACAAAGTCTTTCTTTTTCTTTTTTCTTTTTTTTTTTTTCTGGGATAAACTGGTCTTTGGTCTTGATTTGAGATCAAGTTCAAAGATTAGTTCACCCCTGGAAAAATAGAAAGAAAGGAATGAGATGAACTAATCTTTAGACCTGATATGAGATCAAGCCCAAAGATCAATTTAACTCATTTTTTTTTTCAATTTGCACGCTAGTTGGCCGTCCTCTTCAGGATTAATTTGATAACTTTTCTTTTAGGTCATCAATCAACATTTTTCTCTTTCTACCTGTTCTTTTACATATTTCCCTCCCACTATTTCTCTCAATAAACTATTTTAAGTCAAAATATACAAAGATTCTCTTTTCTTTTCTCCTTGTAGAATATCTCTTTCTTCATTCACCCTTTTTAAAATCTTTTCATTTGGAATTCTTTCGACCAGTTTATTCTCTCTATTTTCCTCCGTAGCCTAGATAAACACTTTCTCACTGGTTTATGAGAAGTACAATAAAGTGTTCGTCTTTTCTTCATTATTTTAAAGTCAACGTTACATTAAATCTATAAACTATAAACCATAAATTATAAAAAAAAATATATATATATATATATTAAAGAATAATATAAGCTATTTAAATTTTCCTAATATGAGTTATATAAGGAATAATTAACGTTCAAAGTACAGTCTTATCTCCATTAAGCGCCTTTGAAATTAGCACTAACAAGTAAGTTACATGTGGCGCTAAACTGAAGTACTCCAAGCAATAGGAATATATATAGGATATAATAGTGAATACTATAAACAAGTTTAGCTGTGAGTTTGAAATTGTGTAATTTGGTGATGACAATGTCGTTTGCAATGCAAAATCTTACATTTAATAATTCGCATCCACTGAAAGACTCTATTTAATACTTATAGGAAAGATCAGTTTACAATTTGTCTGCACTTTATGAAGGTTGCGCTATTCGGGGGAGAGCTATATCAAAGTTTGACTGTGTTTCTCAAAAGAAGTGCAAAGTAAACATTTGTTAACTTACACGTGATGCATGCGATTCACCACGTATAAGTCAACAAATGTTTATTTTGAACTTCTTACTAATTAAGTCACTTGTTCATTTTGCACTTGATAAGTCACTTTCATGCATTCAATCTATGAAAATTTGTAAGAATCCGACCCGAACTCGAAACCTAACACATCCTAATGCCAAGCTGACTGAGTTTAAGTGCAATTTTTTAAAACAATTTTTGCAATAAGTGAAGAGTTTGGATTCGAATTCGAGTCGGATCCTCAGAAACTTTCAAGAGTAGTTTGTCTCATCTGTTATCATCCAACCGCATCATTGAGAGCTTCGTTTAGGCGTACAATGAAAAGGTCGTATGGGATCCATGACTCTCTTAGTATCCATATACGACTTTATAACAAGACCTATATAAAGAATTATTAATTAATTAATTACATTCCTGTTATAAGATTTTTCTATATTTTCTTTACAAAACTGAAGATTTTATAGATATTATTTTTATTTAACAATAAAAAGCGTAAAACATGAAACATTATGTGTCAATAAATTCAATCTTTTTATATTCTAGACATAAAGAAATAAAAAGAAACACATTGAAGATACTTGATTGAAATGTCGGCACCCGAGGTAATAAACTGTTTTCTCTAAATCGAATATTCCTCCTTACAATAATCATATTAATAAATAAACGATTGTATGATACGAGCAACAACAAAATGACGTGTGTATATTTATCACCTCAGGACATATTTTACTATCCATTATTTAAAATACGCTGCTCATCTCTCTCTCTCTCTCTTTCTCTCTCTCCCTCTTTCGTGCATAACAATAAATACAGTTACTAAATTACCGTAGATTTATTTTTTATTTTTTAAATATCTTTAGTAACCAATACACCCGTAGAAATAATTAAAATAAATACAGCAAAGAAAAAAAAAGTAAACACAAACTGTAACATCCCACTTTGGGGAGTTGATATTTAAATAATACATTTTTATCTTTGCCTTAAAACTCAAACAGAATGACTATTCACAGACTAAATACGAGGGTCAAACGGCTCTTAAACTACGACGTTCTCGTCCTCTCCATCCATAAAAGCCATCATTAGTTGCAGACTCGCAGTGCCATCCATCAAATCAATGCGGCATATCAGTGATTCGCTAATTATCCACTAGGGGAGCTAGCAATCACGTCTACCACTCGACCTGAAAAAAAAAATAATAATAAATACAGAGACAAAAAAAAAAAAAGAAAGAAAGAAAACGTTTCTGCACATCCGCTTCTATAGTAACGGAAAGAGGCCAACTCCTGCTTGTAGTAATTACAGTAAGAGCGCACATTTCAGAATATACTAACGGGCAGACCTACAATTTTGGATAAAATTGTTACTTTTTAACATTTTGTTGTCCTTTTTCCGCTCGCGAAGATTAAAAAAAATAGAGTATTATATAAAAAAACCATTGTAAGAAGTGTGTTTTATTTGTTTAATTCTCCATTTTCTGCTTTATATATATATATNGACAGTCTAAAAATCATATATAGTAGTTATATACTGTATGTATAATGTTGGAAGAATGTGATTTATTCCAAACATATTCTTGATTTTATATATATATTTGTTTAGTACATAAAATAAAGGTTATCTCATGATTTCCATGTCAAAAGGATTTTTTAAAATGTTCTTTATGCCATTATTTTCCTGTAAAAATAGTAAATAGGTAGAGCTAGACTGATAGAAGGATACTAAAAAAAGTATTTTATTTATTAGGCCTAGTTTGTCCCATATTTCTCTTGTTTTAAAACCTCAAAAATAATATAAAATTTTAAACACGACCATTTTATAAATCTTCTAATGCAATATAACAAATTTATAGATCAATATATAAATAATTTTAAGAAAATAAACTAAATTTGGACATTTTAAAACCCATTTTTTCACTCTGGTTTGGTCAATAAACAATATAATCACTCTTAATTAATAATAATAATAATAATAATAATAATAATAATAATAATGTAATAATTTAAGTAACTTGCAAATTACTCCACGCATAGTAGTTAAGAGAGAAAACTGAAGTTATAAAGATCTTATTAAAATTTTAATAAATGTTGAGGTACCATATTGACCCTAATCTCGTGTCATATTTCTTTAGAGCATCCGTAAAGGGTCGTTGTACTTGGCTTTTTAATAAATATACAACTGTAATGCATGCCGATTCGCTATAAAGCTACCGAACATTAATATTATTCTTGCTTCATAAATTGTAGTTAAGAGGGGGGCTCTTAATTGAAATTTTCCATCTTCTTTCCTTCCACATTCTTCTAATTATAGGCTAATACATTTATCAACTTTTAAAATTTTATACGTGTTATATTATGTAATACTCGTGTGTTAAATCTATACTTAATAAATACATTTTTTTTTAATTAAACAGTTTTATAAAATAAAAAATAAAAATTCTAGTAAATTGTTAATATTTTTAAAAATAAAATTAAACGAATTAAAATAATGTTTTTTTTTAATATATAAAATAAAATTCAATCTCAACACCTAAGACAATCGTGCAGCGGCCATTTTGCTGTAAAAAATAGCATCAATTAAGTTCGTTAATGAAGACAAATGGAGAGGGAACGAGTGGTAGAGGAGAAGGAAAAAGTCAGTAAGGCAGAGATCTTCGTGACTATTAGGCCTACCTGGCGATTTCACGTCATTGGCAGAACGTGTGTCACTTCATCTCCTAAACAGTCACGGAGACATCTTAAAATCTTAAAAATTCCCCGGGCTACAAATGATACCAATTAGAACCAAAACCGACATGAATATACATGACCGATTCATCCCGAATATGGCCTCGTCCTTTCTCCCTTATACATTTTTATCCTATTGTATTGTAGAAAATTGTACGTTTTGTCTATAAGAAGTCCCATTAGGTTTTAAGGGCTTCTATTACAACGTGATGTGGTGCGGGTAATTAAAGAGAACACCAGGTGACTAGCGTTCTGAAAGATCTCTTGCTAGCAATTGTTTCTACTTGGTATCTCGTTACCGCCTAAGTGACACGCTCGAAGGAATTCGGGACCCGGATATTGTGTGCGCACTTTCTTGTTAGAAGGTGTAACTGCTCTCCATTTTTCCTGCGCCATATATGTCATTTTTCCCTATGCCATCCTAGCGGAAACAATTTGATAATATCAAAAACGTGTCGCGCAACAACACGCCACGATTATTATTTACTTTGAAACGGACCCTGAAGGGCTACGATCTTATAATTATCATTATTTCGTTTTACATGATTTAAAAAAAGACCTCGAAACCTTAAGAAATCTCATCGGAAAGCTTCACGTGTATCACCTATTGTTTAACTTATAAATTACATATTTTTATTAGATTATCTATTAATTTAAAACTATTATACACAATTATATTAAAATTAATAGTCTTTACTTTAAATTATGATGTATTGATTTCTATATGTTAAAATATAAAATTTAAGATATGTTTCGTTTATAGTCTAAATTCAATAGTTTATATACACTACAGGTCTATTTTTCTTCTAATATAAATAAATTTTATGAGGTTTATGAACGCAAATAAAACTTAAAATTGTCAAATTAAAATTAATTAACCAATTATGTGGATATTAAACTTGTTCATATTTCCAGTTACAGATTTGTTGATAGTCCGGACTATTACAAGGCGATTATTCAATTGCTGATCCGACTTTTACGACCGACAGACGACTTCTAAGAAATGCCGTCCTCTCACCTATCATTACCATTTCACAACCTGGGAATTGAAGGTACAATTAGAAGGCTCAGCAGTGACACAATGGCGCCATCTGGATCGTAACAATTCCTATTGACTCTTCTATGTCCGCCTCTTCTACTTGTTCAAATAAGTGTTCTGCCTCAACTGTGACCTATTTTTTATTTTTTATTTTTTCTGAATTGCCCACGACGATCGACTCAACTTCACTTATTTGTATTACGAGAAAGATTTCTAATTACGCTTTAAATTTACTTTTAACCTTAAACTCGTCATATAAAATTTTATTTAACGCTTAAAAATATACTTAATTAAATTGAGATACAGAATGTAATTAAACTGAATAGAATAGATATTGTTAGTTATTCTTTATATTGACTTTAGGCTATACCTTTTTTTTTTATGTTGAGTGTATGCGTGTGGTTGGTTACAAGTAAAATGTGACTAAACAAACGAAGGTGATTTCATTCATTGACAACAAATTAACATTATGCAAAATTCTTCAGTCAACCTTTCGGGCATATCTTTATGTTAATTATACTTTGAAAATAGAGGAATAACTACCGGGAAAACAGAAAAAGACAATTGCCTCCTGGCTGTTTTCAATAAGAAAGTTGAAAGTGTCTCTCTGCGATTAGTTGGGTGAGGAAGACAGACGGTCTTTTTTTTTTTTATTCTTCTTCTTTTTCTTTCCCCTGTTACAAAACATTCGATAGGAGGAGGAAAGGTCTTTCTATTATGTTACCTTTTCTATTTCAGATAATTGATATCTATGCCAATGTAAGAATATTAAATAGACTATAATTTAAAGATATTCGTAGAATCTTGAGGGTTTTTGGAAAAATATTAATGTAGATTTAATATGGTAACCATTAACGATGTTATATTAAAACATACTTTTCTACGCTACCTTTGTCAATAATCTAGATACAAACTGTTTGTTTTGCCCGAGATAAAGAAATCTTTTACTTTCTTCTTGAAAATTTTCTTGAATGGCTCATATTATATTGTCGATTAGTAACTGCCTTTTTCTTTTTCTTTTCTTTTTTTTTTCATTCGACCAACAGAGTAACTTCACGCATTTACTTCCATATTTATTATTTTAATATCTTGTATTTACCACCACCCAACTTAATTAAAATACAATTCAAAAAAATTTTCGGCACACCTTAGCGCTTATCCTAAACATTGGTCGGTAGAATCAACCCACAATAAAATTAACTTCTTAAGAATTAAGAAAAACGCCTGCAGTTGTATGAATGTGTGAATATGACACGCCTCGGATCTCCACCCTCAATATATATATAATTTCTGACTATTTGAATAAAGAACACCCAGAAGAGGCGTTGTCTCCGGATATTCATATTCCACATTCGTATATCTTGGTCCCCTTTCAATCTTTAAATTGTGAGACGTTTGACGTAAGTCTAAATTGAGAGAAAAGAATGATAACATTATATCTTTGGCTTTATAAATTCTCTATATTAGCTACATCCGTGTGAGATCGCACGCTCAGAAAGAACTACTGCTACGGTGGTATTTACTCCCGTTTATAGACTTTTTAAACTACTAAATGTGCAAATAAAGAAGCTGTAAGACTACTTCTCAAAACGTACAATGAATGGAAACATAATACAAAATATCTCTTACCTACGATTACATTTTACATTATATCTTGCAGGTGTTCTAAGTTGTAATATCTTTGTCCTTTATATCACAATAAGATTTTAAATCAATTGTGTTGAAATTATATCATCGCAATTGATATCTTTTATGTATTCTAATCGGAAACATTTATAATATTTTTAATTAATCATATTTTGAAGCTTCGTCTGATAAGAAAAGATTCATTACTGAAGCCGTTTCTTGGAGAATTAGCCTATTAATAATTTTTCTGAAAATAACTTACTTTGCATTGAAAACTGAATATATATATATATGTGATGTAAATGCTTTTAAATGAATGCATAAAATTATGCCAAATTAAAAACTTGGTTTTCTGAACATTTCTTTATGATTTTATGTATAATAATGTATAGAAACATAAAGAAACTGCATATAACTAACTTGTAAGACCTATTGATATATTTTATAAAATCTTACGCATTCATTTAAAGCACTTATTTTTATTTACATTTTTATACAATATTATGCATAGAAACATGAAGAAACATGCTTTTTGTAATTAGAATATAGGTTATATAAAGCCTTTATATATACAGCCTATATATATAGGGGAGACCGGGGCAAGATCGGCATGTTAAGCTTTACTTAAATTTTGTGTAATAAATACTGCTGTAAACTGAAAAAAAAGCTTTGCATATTGTCTATTGGAATGTTACCTTACTATAGAACTGGTTAAAATCAGTTTGGAAATAAAAATAATTAAAATAATTACAACTTTACAAGAAGAGAGAAATTGACGAAGTTGCCCCGGGTATAGGGGCAAGATCGGCAACTTCTCTCTTTTTGTAAAGTTGTAATTATTTTAATTATTTTTATTAAAGTTGCCCCTGGTATAGGGGCAACAGTAATGGGGCAAGATAGGCACGTATATAAAATTATGTTATTAACAATGTATAAGTTGGAATTCACTATTAAAACAAAGAAATACAAATCCAACACCCATTTAATATTATTACAACGAAATGCAAGTTCAAAGACATATATACATGAATAACAAATGCAAACATGTTTTCATTTATCATCTGTTTGATTTTTATCCTTTGCTTCTAATGTGGCTTTATGTTGCCGATCTTACCCCGCTAGTCATGATTTCGAAACATTAAGTACAACCCTGAGAACAGAATGCCAAGCCACGATCTGGCCACGTGAATAAGTTGAAGTTACATCCTTCTAACAGGAAAAGTAACTTTCGTTATCATGGAATTATAACAAAACCTGCCAATTCAATATAAATGGAAAAAAAATATTATATGGAATTGAACGAAAATGAAAATTTGCTTGATAATTCAACTACGCTTGTTGGAGAACAATAAAAACACTACACTCAACAAGCCACCAATAAAACTCAACTGCCTAACCTATAACCAAAGTCTCCTTTTAATTTGTTTTTTAAAAAAAGCGCTTGACAAACTTGCCCCGCATGCCGCAGTTGCCCCGGTCTCCCCTAAAGGTTCAAAGTGATGAGATGAGGCCCGAACTTCAGCTCACTTCTTCAGAGATGTGAGGCCTTTTCTGCAAAAACCGTAAAAAAAAAAAAAAAAAAAAACATATGCTAAAGTAGACTTTTCTTCTGTTATCAAAAGAAATTATAACTTTTTTGAAGCTCTTTTTACGCCCAAATGGTCCTGATAAATCTCCTGTCTTGGCATATCTATACATAAAAATGTAGCTATAACTATAAAAATATATTCATTATATAGGGCCTATTAGATTTAGACCACTGTAACTTTTGTTGCTTAAGTATATTAAAAAGTAAGAATAAAAAATGTAATGTAAAAAAACTGTATTATATTTTTAAATCATAAAAATCTGACAAAAATAGACTGTTTTTTTTTTTTTCTTATTAGACAATAAATACAAGGAAATGAATAATTTGTAACAAATATTTTTGACGTCCCCTAAATTTAAAGCCCACAAAAATGACCCTACTGGTCCTTTGTAATAGGGCCTTTTAGCCTAAATTCTATTCTATTAATAAACTTAATGTAACTAGACGATACGTAGGCGATATAAATTAAAATTTCTTTTGATATGTGATGACAAATTTTTATATATATATTTTTATGGCTTTCGAAGAAGAATGGGCCTCATATTTCTAACTGATAAGAGTCTTATCTTATCTCTCTTAGGCTCTAATTATCAATTTAGTTGTTACTTTCATTGCATAATTTAGAGTGTATATATAAAATGATCCTTAAGATCTATTATCTAAACTATTTTAGATATAATATATTTCAAATGTTATAAAATATTTTAAATTTAGCCCGTAAATTAACAATTAAACTAGTACATATAATTTATGAGCTTTTCTATACGAATAGATTCTATAACTTATATATTGGATAAAGAATAGGATTTAAATTCATACTTAATCATATTCTTAAATAATTTTAATCATAAATTTTCCTAATATATTCAGTGTTTCGAGTTTATATTTTAATTATCAAATTAGCTTTAAAAATTAAAATTATTAGATTATATATGATTATTAAAATACTAAAAATAAATGATATTTTCTCTTTAATACAAGCTGTATGTATATTTAATGGTCTATAATCGTAACATTCAAGATATATATAAGAATAAGCTATAGAGTTGTTATTACGCTTATATATCATTTCGCTTTACACAATATCATAATATAAACTGTTAACTATAGGGTGAAAGACCTGAATACACAGCTTAGCCTACTTAAACATTTCACTTAGGCAAAAGCCACTTGTATGGAAAGAAGATGAAAGAACAAAAGAATGCATTATACTGATATCAGCTCAACATCGTGTCTGCCCCAGACTTGTCATTAGAAGTCTTTATGGCAAAAGTGATGGATTAAGTCTAGATTTGGACTTAACACAGCGCGTTCCGGTTCGTGTGGAAGCAAAGTAAACACTTTTGCACGACCACAAGCCTCATCACTCAATATAAAGACATGTCCGACTTTTCTTCAGATACAATCTCTAGTTTAATACCGCTCTCTTAAACAGACTGAGCATATTCCTTCATTTGGACACGCATTATGATGTATCTCGTATGTGCATTGGTCTCTAGCTTTATATTTAAAGAAAAGATACTCTCCTCCGAGTGGCTGAAAGGTTAATTTAAGCCGGAAGATTACGCCTAAGATGCCTCATTATTGTGCAGATTAAAACGTAGATTACATATGCCCTGAAGTTATGCGCATTGTAAAGGCTTCTCTTATTTAGAAGGCAAGATAAACAAGTGATTTTAACATTCTGTTGGATAATGTGACTAAATATCTGTCATAACAAACGTAACTATTTAAAAAAAAATAGCTAATTTTATTACGCTTAAAATGTAAATTTAATCTATAAATAATTTAAAAAGAAATTAATGAATATTAAATATTTTCGGAGTATAATAAAGATTTACTTCTTCGTGTTTTCGGCATTATAAAAATAATATTTAAACATTAAATTTTCCACTCTATTCTACTTCTTCAATGGGCTAAATAACGTCAGGGGAACCCAAAATTCAGTTAACCACTTCAAAGCAGGGTTATTCAACTGATAAACTAAGTTTTGAACCATCTTATGCATAGATAATCGATTTCTGAACAGTTTAAATGCATGTTTTAACTCTTTTATATTATATTAAAAATTAATAATAAGTTTGATAATAAATAACGTCAAATTATTTCGATTTATATTAGTAAAAAAAAGTAACGTAGGCTATTAAGTTTATATATAGACTCATAAATGTATTATTATTTGTACTCAAAAAAGTTTCTAAAAAAATGGC